ATCAATGTTCATTAATCTGAAGCAGTTTGTAGTGGATGGAAAATGGAAAATGAATTTTCACATTAATAAGTTACAGAAAAGTTTCATAAAACAAGCGATTAATATATAAATAGAACACCGGCCTTATTTTCTCATAATCCCTAGTTATCTTCTACAGTATCACCGATTTGGGAAAACACGGGTTCGATATCGGGTCCGTAATTTTCCGGTAGTTTTCTTGGATCAGTATGGCAAATAAAACATCCGAAACTTATTTTTTTTACAATATATACTTTTAGAGGACTCCTTACCGTGTTATTTTATCGTTGTTTATCTTTTTTCCAGGAAGAAGATCAAGAAGAAGCGTTTTTAAACAAGATCAATAAATAGAGAAAGGACAATCCCTAAAATAGTGACAGACCTCACTGGTTGACAAAAGCGATAAAGTTTTGTTGTTTAATGACCATATCAAAAGCTCAGTATTCCGAAGAAATCATAAGATATTCATGGTTTTAATGGTAAGCTACTTAATACCTACAATACAGTAAAAGTTTCTTATTCACAAGTGCAATCCAGTTCCTTTTTTCGCGGCTAAAACTTTCATTATTCGCGGTTGCAATTGGTAAACAGAAAAGGATTCGGTGTCATTGATTAAGGGGATTGACCGCAATAGACCGCTCGTGCCTAGTGCGAATTTTCCCTAAAACATGGGTTTCTATTCTAAACATTGTGATTTAACACTGCGAGATAAATATGTGATTTTTTGTATGGTAACAGACAAAGGTGCACAGTAACTCGGTACGTTTTTGGTTTTCAATAATATGGTCATTAAAAGCTTTTACAAGTGCTTAAATTTGATGCTTCTTGTAGGACACGTATTTTCAATAGAAATTAAAAAATTTAAAAATGACCTTCGACATGCTTTAGAACAAAGCTTTATCTATCTTACTACAAAATTTCAAAACTTTTGTTCCAAATATTAAACTCATGATATCTAGAACGGATAAGAATGTTTTTAGTCTACGGCGCGTGTACTACTGAATCTCCTTAATTTATCGGCATCTTTTGAGTATGTATGTTGGTACATACGGCTTTTATAAAAAATATAACCGAGTAGAAAAGGATTCGGTAGAATTTTTCAACGTATCAGCATCTTGGCTCGTGCCGAGGCATCTTTTATAAAAATGTAACCGGGTGGACTAATTTCAAAATTCAAAACAAGAAAGAATCACTAAATTTTTTAAACTCTTGCCTAAAGCTGATTATATCGATTAATTTTAATTACGAATTTATCAATACATTGATTTTATTTTAATACATATTGGTTTTATTTTGGAACCTTAGAACGCATCCCTTATGATTCCATACCCACGGTTTCTGTATTCGCGGAATATTTATGAAACGTATAGCCCGCGAATAAAGAGCTTTTACTGTACCTAAATGAAACCCACGGAGACTTCAACAGTGTTGTCATCACGAACCTAATGCCAGTCTATACTGTACTCGACTATTCCCGATCCATAAGGATCCACTGGTGGATCACTTCTTCCTCTCGGCCTCACGCCCGTTTCGAGGACCTCACTTAATCGCGACGGATCGCGGACTTCACTTCATCTCCCTTTCCTGATTTACTTTTGCTCTTTATAGGATCCCACATAGTATTTGTTCTTTCATCGTCACATGGAACTTTTGGAATTCTGTCTCGGTCCACGTTGGTTGCGCTTTCGAATATTAAATCCGTGTAATGGTAAATGGAATTGCCTACGGTAATTCGGCGTTTTGAAAGTTACGCAGACTTAATACCGAGAAAGTGAAACATATAATTTTGGAAATTACGAACACTATGCAACTTTATAATCCTGTTAATTTCAACTGGATGCAATTATTTCTCTTAATTTAATTAACCTAAATATCATTAATTAATATTTTAGGGCCCACCGTTAAACTTATACCGCTTCATACGAACAACAACGAAAATTTAGTTGGAAAAACGGTTTATCTCACTGGCTTTGGTGCAATAAACGGTAAAGAAAACATACTATAAAAATCTAAAACAAGGAGTAACTTATTTAAGTTTTTATGTTTGTATGAAAGATATGAACGTCATCCCAAAAAGACTGAGAGTAGCTATATTACATGTTGATAATTACACTGGATGTTTCGATAACCCCCCTCCTAATAACTCGGAAATTTGTGCTGCTTCAAGCCTTTCAGAAGGAAAAGCTTGTCGGGTATGAATTTAATTTATAAAAGCTTTCTGTTAATGCCATGTATAGCAATTTTGTAGGATCATCTCATTATAAAGTCGTCAGTCCTCTGGCTGGTTGGACACGCACCTCCACTCTTTTCTATCCTGAGCTAAACTTCGCATTTCCCTAAAACTAGAACAATCCATATCCTCCATATCTGCAAACAACAATGTAATCTAGGTCTACCTCTAATCCTCCTAGACCTTCATGCCTGAGAAGGTGTCCTACCTATGTATCTCATCTGTTTCTTATTGACTTCCATAGAGTCTTCTGTTCTCCTATTCTTTCTAATACCTCTTCATTTCTAACCTTCTGTATCCACGGTATCCTCATCATTCGTCTGTAACACCACATTTCGAACGGTTCTAACCTTCTATTTTCCGCAGCGCCCACTGTCCATGTTTCGCACCCGTACAGCGTTCCAAACATACACCTTTAACAACCTTTTTCGAATTTCTAAATTAACCGTTCGCGGGCATAAAAGTAACTTCATTTTATTGAAGGCGATTCGACCCTGCGCTATCCTCTGCTTTATATCCATACTACTCCTTCCGTCCTAACTTATCTGACTTCCTAGAAACTTAAAAACAACTACTTCTAATTTTTCGTCTCCTAACATTCGTTCTTTTCCTAGTTTTTCTTCTAGTTTGCTTACCAGTATTTTTGTTAAATAAATTAATTAAAATATTAATTGATAATTGCAGGTAAATTTTATGCTTTGAAATCTATAATTGTAACTATTGTCAATTTGTGCTTTCAAACTAACGATGGGAAAATTCAAACATTAACCAACAATCAGTCTAGAAACATGTACCTACAAGTAATCTTCCTTCTGTGTCATCCACTACCCTGGACAGTACACGTAGTTACATTCTCAGAATAGGTGGGCTGTACCTCCCCACGTTAGATTCCAAAATCTTGAATAATAATATTTTTGAACACGCCCATCAAACTGTAGTACTTTCTTTTAGAACAAATTTTTAGACAGAACCTTTTCGTAACTCAAGCAAGAACAATATTTGGCACGTTGAAAAGATTAGAACCTTTTCAGAACTTGATCAGAACAGTACAATAATTCAGAACTTCTTAATTCTTAAAGTTTGTTGTTGTTTGTTTTCGAAGTAATTTAAATAAACTATAATCAAGTGTTAGTGATGAATTGTTTTTTCAACTCCTGCATTAACACTTTACTTTCTACCTTTTCCATAATAAAAGTACTAAATAAAATAAAGAGTAATATTTTGCATTGCACGGTTTGTATTAGGTTGTTATAACTGACGTGGTCATTTTTATACAGGGTGTAACAGAAATA